GGAGGGAGAAGCAGACTCCCCGCCGAGCAGGGAGCCCGATGCGGGACTCGATCCCGGGACTCCAGGATCATGACCTGAGCCGAAGACAGTCGCTTAACCAACTGAGCCACCCAGGCGCCCTTACCTGTTTTTACTCTTAAAAAAAAAAAAAAAGCCTAATTCCTCCTTTACCCATTCAGGCAAAGTGATTGGAAAGAACGGGAAAGTGATCCAGGAGATTGTGGATAAATCTGGTGTGGTGAGGGTTCGAGTAGAAGGTGATAATGACAAGAAGAACCCCAGGGAGGAGGTATGGGGCAGCTGCATCTAGAGACTGGTTTCCAGAAGCAGATGGCATTGTTCTCTTGTTCTTCTCTGGGGGCTGGGATTTCTAGAGGGCGGAGGATGGGGGTTCCTGGGGGGTGGGGGACGGGAACTTCTGTGTCCCCCTAGTAATGCAGAGCCCAGAATGATCCTGCTGGGTGAGCTTCCATAGGAGGCAGGGTGGAGTTGGTACTTGCCTTGACTACTCTCCGGCTAACTGCGCCCGACCTCTCTGCTCTGCAGGGGATGGTTCCTTTCATATTCGTGGGTACCCGGGAGAGTATTAGCAACGCCCAGGCCCTGCTGGAATACCATCTCTCCTACCTGCAGGTACCCAGGCCGGAAGCCGGGGAGCGGAAGGGTGTGGGTGTAGCAAGGAGGCAGAGGCTGCTGGCGGATGAAGTTAGGAGCAGTGGTGCCCAGTTTGAGGAGAACGGAAACCACGGAGTGGAGATTCGGGGCTGTGGGGTTGGATTCCGTAATGTTCTTCGTTTAGCCAGGGTCTTTCTCCCGTTCCTGAGAGTTTAGGTCGCTAGGGGCGGTCAGGGCCAAGGAGCACGAGTGAGGGAGGAGTGTTTGTGGATCTCGTCACTCCTTCGGTACCTCTCCTTCTGCCCGACCAGGAGGTGGAGCAGCTCCGCTTGGAGAGGCTGCAGATTGATGAGCAGCTTCGGCAGATTGGGCTGGGCTTCCGCCCTCCCGGGAGTGGGCGGGGCAGCGGTGGCAGCGACAAGGCCGGATACACCACGGACGAGAGCTCCTCGTCCTCCCTCCACGCTACGCGAACCTACGGGGGCAGCTACGGGGGCCGCGGCCGGGGCCGGAGGACAGGCGGTCCCGCCTATGGTAAGACGGCCGTGGGCCTTGTGGGGAGAGGCACAGGCCTGGGTGGAATCTCGAGGAAAGGGTGACAGCCACGTTGAAGGTGGGACTGGCTGGGGGATGGATCCTGGGGTGGGGTGAGTGACCCGGATTGAAGCCCAGCGTGTCCTTCAGGCCCCAGCTCGGACCCATCCACAGCTTCTGAGACGGAGTCAGAGAAGAGGGAGGAGCCTAACCGAGCTGGGCCAGGTGACCGGGATCCCCCAACCCGGGGGGAAGAAAGCCGGAGGCGGCCGATTGGGGGCCGGGGTAGGGGACCCCCACCTGCCCCCCGGCCCACCACGAGATACAACGCTTCATCTATCAGCTCAGGTACCAGTATCAGACGGCTGGGTTTGTGGATGCAGGCCGAAAGGAAGGATGATGGACGCCCGATAACCACCTTCTCTTCCTCTGACCAGTGCTGAAAGATCCAGACAGTAATCCCTATAGCCTACTGGACACATCTGAACCAGAGCCCCCAGTTGACTCAGAGCCTGGGGAACCCCCCCCAGCAAGTGCCAGGCGCCGCCGCTCCCGCCGCCGCCGCACGGATGAGGACCGGACTGTCATGGATGGAGGCCTGGAATCTGATGGGCCCAGCATGACAGAGAATGGTCTGGGTAAGGGCTGTGCCTGGGCCTGAGAAGGGAGAGCTGGGCAGGAATTGAGGTGCAGGGCATTACATGCACCGCTTGGGTTTTCTGTGCCCCACAGAAGATGAGTCGAGACCCCAGCGTCGGAACCGGAGCCGCCGCCGCCGTAACCGTGGGAACCGGGCGGATGGTTCCATCAGTGGAGACCGTCAGCCAGGTCAGCGAACACTGGGTGCCGGCATCCTTCCCCAGAGTGGAGAGAACGGGGTGCCTTTTGGTGGGGGTTGGGGCTTGGTGGGTGTCCAGGAGCTGGATACCCGCTTCCTTCTGAAACTCTCGGTCCTCTGCCTCGCGCAGTGACCGTGGCGGACTATATCTCCCGAGCCGAGTCGCAGAGCCGCCAGCGGCCCCCCCTGGAACGCACTAAAGCCTCAGAGGACTCTCTTCCAGGACAAAAGGTAGGCAGGCGGGGTGTCGTTTACCCCACCGCGTTTCCTCCAGGGCCGGGGGGCGCAGGGAATTCGCAGAGAAGCCGGTGTCCGATGGAGTTTAGGCTGCGTGTGGAATAGAGAAGGTTTGGCTAGGGCAGGAAAGTTTGGTTCGGACTTTCCGGGTGCCTGTAAGAGCCCCGAGAGCGGCAGGTCAGCCGCCAGGAGCACTAGGATGGCGGGGGGATGGCATTACCTTGATCTCTGCTGACCAGCTTCCTTCCTTCCTCTCCCGTTTTTCTTCCCCACTTCCCCTCAGGGCGACTCTGTCAGCAAGCTTCCTAAGGGCCCCTCAGAGAATGGGGAGCTCTCCGCCCCCTTGGAGTTGGGTAGTTTGGTGAACGGGGTTTCATAAAACCTCCAGCCTGCATCCCTCCCTTCTCCATCTCGCTTGCTGCCCAACACCATGGCCCTCCCAGGCCCGACTGACCTGCGCTGGAGCTGCTCTTATCTAGGGGGGAGGGGGGTGGCACAGCAGCTTGGGTCCTCCCTCAACCTCCAGGAGCTAGTGGAGGGGTGTGTAACAGGGTCATACCCCCCCCTCTTGTCCACCCTTCCCCAGGGTGAGGGAGCCTCTCTCCTTCCCCATCAGACTGGATGTGCCTTTATCCTCTAATGCCCCGATCTCTCTGAACACCCCCATTCTCCGCCTGCTGGTGCGGGGTGCTCCTTGACCCACCCGGATTTGACCGTTCAGGGGGGCTCCCCTGCTATCCCTCCTCCCATCCTGTACCCCCCATTTCTGGGGCCTCATCACTGTGGAAGACGGGGATAGTAAGGGTATACGTGGGTGGGAGGCATGGGGAAGGTTTTGGAGTAGAACCAGGGGTGTGTATGAAGGGGGGTGACAAGGTCCCCCGGGGGAGGGGGGGACCAACCTTGTCTGGTGGATGAGAAGGCGTATTTATTTTTCACTGTACAGTATTTAAAAAGAGAATAAAAAAATCCAAATGGCTCTGTGGTTCCTGCCTTCCTTGTCCCCAGTTGGGTCCAGCAGTTTCTCTAGGATTGACCTGTCCGGGCCTTGTTTCCTGTTTCTCCCCACCTGGCTTCTCTGGTGTTCCAGAGATTGTCCACTTCTGGGAATTCCTGGCATTCCTCTGTTTCCCCCCCGGTCCAGGTCCCTTTCTAGTCCGGAGGCCAGTGGCCTGTGGACTGTGGCTTGCTGCTTCTCCCCTCCCCCAGGTGTGCCGGTAGAGGGAGCGGGGCCCCTCCTCTCCCCTGAGTCACCGCGGGCTAGGTAGGGCTGCCCCGGGCCGGAGCCGTTCCTGCTCAGAGCTGAGAGCCAAGGCCAGCTGCCTAATCCGATTACCCGAGGCCTGGGGCTTGGGTCGGGCCTGGGGCTGAATGGGGAGCCGGGCTCTCTGGAGACAGCCTCTGAGACTTAGGTGTCCGGCCCTCGTTGCTGCTGGCTCTCCGCGCTGGGTCCAGGCCGCTTCTCAGGCACCCGCAGTGCTGACCGCTGGGCCCCGGGGGGTGGGGGCCCAGGGGAGCCCGGGCTTCGGGCTCCCTGCCTTCACACTCAGGTTTGCAGATAGCACCTGCAGTGGAGAAACCGAGGTTTGGGGGCTGGAGTTGGGAGGGCTTAAGTTTTCTCACCTGGAGGAAGGGGCTGAATCACCACCTAAGCACCTGCTGGGATGACTCAGGAAACAAAAATGGACTGCCTCCTGACTGTCTTGGCCCAGGGGCAGGTCAGGGCTTTGAGGAGCAATAGGCACAAGAAAAGGGTTTGGGGTAGGGGGTGGGGTGTTCCCAACTTCCTCCTAGCTCCATTGTGACCCTGAGGGCTTTTGATTCCCCAGTGCTTGATCCCATTGTGCAAAGGAATTGACTTTAAATTGCCAAAGCTCCCGAAGGGAGGGGAAGGCGTTCAGAGCTCCTGGCGTTGGAAGGCTTGACATCTGGGTCTTGGGTGGGGAGGGGGCGTGGTGCCCCGAGGGGAGTGGTGGGGGCTGGGAACAACAGGACACCTGGGTTTGCCTAGGGGAGGGGGACGTTGGCGCCCGTCAGGAGGCGCGGTCTGCGGGGAGGGAGTGGGGAGGAGTCTGGTTAAAAGCTGTTCCCGGGTCTGGCCCACCCGCCAGCCACAGACGCTGAGGCCAGGTGAGAGGGGCGGTGGCGGCCGGGCCCCGGGACTGCCCGGGACTGCTCGGAGGCCGGGCGCGCCTCGGCGGAAGGCGGGCTGGGCCGGGCACCTGGTGGCATCCGGGAGCGGCGAGCGCAGTGTGCGCGGTGCCGGGGTACCGGGCAGCGGGTCGGACGCCGGCTCTCCAAAGTGCCTGGTTGGTTGGGAGCAGGGGCTCCGTTCTCAGGACTCTGAACTTGGGGACGACACCCACTTCTATAAGGACACGAGTTCTCTGGAACGACTGCAGACGGGGAAGACCCTTGCGTTTCAAGGACACCGCGTGTGGGCATCGACGTTCCGCTTTGGAGGGGAGGGCGCGGAGGACGCCCTCGCAAGGCTTCCCTCCACCACCGCCCCCCCCCGCCCCCATGGCGCTTCCTGGCCCTTCACACGCCCAGGTCTGGAGCCTGGAGCCTTCTGCTCCCACGGCTCCTGCCAACCCGGCCTCGGGCTGCCCGGAGCGGGAGGGCGCCGGGAGCCCGGGGGCGTCCGGGGGGCTCCCCCTGGAGAAGGTGAAGCGGCCCATGAACGCGTTCATGGTGTGGAGCTCCGCGCAGCGCCGCCAGATGGCGCAGCAGAACCCGAAGATGCACAACTCGGAGATCTCCAAGCGCCTGGGCGCGCAGTGGAAGCTGCTGGGCGAGGACGAGAAGCGGCCCTTCGTGGAAGAGGCCAAGCGGCTCCGGGCCCGGCACCTGCGCGACTACCCCGACTACAAGTACCGGCCTCGGCGCAAGGCCAAGAGCTCGGGCACCGGGCCGCCCCACTTCGGCCCGGGGAGCGGCGGCGTGGCTGCCGGCGGGCCGGTCTGGGGGCCCGGGTACGCGGCGGGCACGCAGGGGAGCAGAAGCTTTGGGTACCAGCCGCCCAACTACTCCGCAGCCTACCTGCCCGGCGGATACGGGTGAGCGCCTGGGGGGCGGGCTGAGGCTCCGGCAGGGGCCACTCCGGGGGGACCTGAGGGGGCGGGGGTTAGCGCTCCCCCGGCCGCCCAGTGCCCCGCCGGGGTGGGCGCGTTCTGGTGGCCCCCGGGGTTCCCTGGAGGCCGTTTCCATCCCAGCCCGGCAGTGGCGGCCCCCAGGATGCGATCCTGTTCTAGTTACCCGAATTTCCCGTTTCCTCCCCGCTTCTGGCCCTCCTGTGACCCGGCTTCCCCTCCCTGCCCGCGGGGCAAGGAGAGGCCCGGCCCGTCTCTGCCCCTTCCTGGCCTGCCGAAAACAGGCGCGACACGCAAGCCCGTTCCAGAGCGTGCCCTGACACGGCCGCGCCCCGGTTCCCAAGCCGCCGTGGGGTCTGGTCCCCAACCTGCGCTACCCAGTGGGGCCCGGACAGCCAGGGACCGGTGGCCGGGTGACGGCAGGTTCTACCTCTGGGGCCAGAGGTGGTCCCACCCACCCCCACCTGGGCGTGGGGGGCGCCGCCGGCACCTCCCAACCCGGGGACGGGCTCTAACCCCAGTGTCTCTCTCTTTGCAGCTCTTCGCACTGCAAACCCGAGGCCTCCTCGCCGTGCTCCCTCCCTCAGAGTAACCCCAGGCTCCAGGGAGAGCTGCTCCCCCAGTACAACCCCTGCCTCCCCCCAAGCTCTCCCACCCCGTACAGCCCTCCCCTGCTGGGGCCCCCCCTGCCCCTGACCCACCTCTAACCCTCGTGGACACGGACCTCCCAGAAGGGCTCCCCCTCCTTTGTCTTCACCCTGAACCCACCCCCCAGGCTGCAAACCCTTCTTTAGAACTGTGTTGGACCCCAGTTCAGAGGAGGCCTGGGCCACGGTCCCCTTCCCCCCCTCCCCCTCCGCCCCACAAAACACATTTTTTTTTGTAGGATGAACACAGTTTTTACAATTAAACCCTGTCTCGGAGTCTTTATTGCCCCATGTCCGTTCCCCCCTCACTGCAGCAGGAACCAGCAGTCTCCACTCCCTTCCGCCTGGACCTGCCAGAGCAGGAACCTCCTCACCCCACCCTGGGGCCCTGCCTGAGTCATTCTCCAACCCCCCCGCCCCCCACCCAGCACTGGGGGCCTGGAGACCGTCCCACCCAGGCTCGGGGAGGGGGGCGGCCCCAAGCCCCCAGTTGCTTCCACCCGCGGCTCTGCCCTCCAGGGCCACAGAGAAATGGGGGGAGGGGGAGGGCAGGGCCGACTTGGGCCCCAGAAAACCTAAAGAGCTGGGAATGGCCGCTGACGGAGGAGTCTGGGGCGAACGATTCAGTGAGTTAACCTTCCGCGCACAGGGCAGTAGTGTCGGCCTGAAAGCCCTACCCCCATGCTCTCCCAGAATCCGCGGTCCCCCTAAAACCCAGGCTCGAGACTTTCACAGTTGCAGAGGAATGAAGAAAGAGGGGTCCCGCCAGCAGACTGGTTCGGGTGGGAACGACCCTGAGGTTGGGGGACGACGGGAGACGCGGAAGGCGCCCCAGCAGCCAGCTCAGCCCTACTCTTTCTTCTCGCGGCCCGGCTTTGCGTCCCAGTAGAAGAGGAGCTGGGCAGCGATGAGGCCGTTGCAGAGGGAAGAGACCATGAAGGTGCCCGCCATGAGGGGGTCTCCGGTCTCCTGCGTGACAGACGGCAGGGGTCCCAGAAAGTGTTCAGAGGAGGAGCAGCATGAAGTCCGCGGCGAAGCGAGGGCCGGGCTTTAGTGCCCCCTAGTGGGGAGAAGGGGCACTCACCTGAATGGAGGTGAAGATCCTGGCCAAGGAGCCCCCGAAGAGCAGAAAGACGGTGACGGCGGAGAGCTGGCCCGTGTGCCCGTTCCGGTAGTTCGTGGCGGCCTGGAGCAGCTGGGGGAGAGGTTGAGAACCTTCGTTCCGCCGTCTGAACTCCTCACACACTTGCTCTGCTCATCCCCCCCCCCCCAGCATCCTTCCCTTGCTCCCAGCCCTCACCCGCCCCACGACCACCGCAGGCACGTTGGAGGCCTGGAGCAGGGTGATGAGAGCCAGGGGCGTCAGTGGGGACAGCAGCAACAGCAGGGCCAGCGCATAGCACGTTAGGAAGGTGACACCTGGGGGTCAGGGAGGTAAGGAGCCCCGATGAGCCTCTCCGGTCCTTGGGCTTCCCCAGGCCGGAGTTCCCAACAGGGCCCCCAAGAGCCACCCCCCCAGCACCTTTCACGGTCTGTCCTCCGTAGTGCAGGACCAGGAAGCAGATGGTGACTGTCTGGAGCATCAGGAACAGGGCTTCACCCCAAGAGCTGCAGAGTCAAGAGTTGGGAGGGAGAAAGGCGGGCCTGGGAAGAGGTAGGGAAAGCCTCCATGGCCCGTCCACCTGGGGCCACGGTTTGCTGATGCTCCCGGTTGTCTGCAGCCCTGACCTGCGGGGATAGACCGATAGACTCGGTCTAGATCCTGGGCATCCTCGGGATGCTCTCCTCCTCTCATCACGTCCACAGAAGACGGCCAGATTTCCAGAAGGGCTTGAGCTTTGCCTCCCTTTTACCTGCCTCGCCCTGACCCCCACTAGACGTGTGCACATTCACCCTTGGGGATCAAGGGCGGGCTCCCTCACCTGAAGGGAAAGTTGTTGGTGATGCTGTAGACCATGGTCCCCGTCAGCGCCATTAGCTCTAGCATTACTGACTGAAGGCTCAACCCTTCGGCACTCTTGGCTCTCAGGATTTTAAACACCTGCGGCAGTTTTACTAGAGAAAGGACGAGAAGGGCAGGGATGAGGAGCGAGCATCCCTCAGGAGCAGCGCGCCACAGCCAGGGAGTGGACTGGGAAGCCTGTTAACTCCACTTCCGGTTAAGGGACCCACCCAGCTTCTGGCATCTCAGCTCTCCACCCTCCTCCTGACACAGGGAAAGAGAAGGTACGTACCCAGCAGTGACCCAGCC